AAGTAAAAATGTATTCTGATTTGATAAGATAAAAAATGATTATGGACTTTTAAGACAATGTTGTACAATTTACGTAAACACTTCTTTCTAAATAAGTAATAACCGGTCTTGTAGACTTCAAACTTTCATAGTTTTTTTGTAATCGAAGTTCAAAAAATAGTTTAGTCCAAAGATCCTGATTCATGTTGGTTCGAACCTCATTTATAAGGTATAACAATAAGCACACCAACTTCAGTTAGACCATATCAGTTGTGTTATTTCTGTTGGTTATGACTAGATTCTCAAGAATTCCTATGCTTTCAACCTAAATTTTTATAATTTAATTTTCACTTTTCTCATAAACCATATTTTCCCCGTTTGTTACAAAAAAATGGTTAGAGAATAGGAAGCAAACATTTGGGTGAAAACTTAGAGGGATAGAGATTAGGAGACAAAAGACAACAACAGACATCTCAATTATTATTAACAATTAACCGTAGACTTCTTTAATGATTACTTAATAAAACTATAAGGTACTCCTGAACTAATTCAAATAAAATAACGCAAGTACAAAAGTTCTAGCGCGTAAATCTCAACCACGGAGATGCTGCACCAATTCAAACTGTACTATAGTCTATAGTAATTAGTGGAAGATAATTTATAACCGGAGATCCTTATAATCCAACAATATTTGATAAAAATCTCCAATTGTCTAATAACAGAACTAAAATGTAATTCATGTACTGAAACAATTTGGAGTGGAAGCCTCTTTAATTGAATGGTTAATGCTTCTGCATTAAAATGTGTAGAGTTCAATTCCCTAAAAATGCGAATCATTGTAAACTAATGGAGTTTAAAATCTACCGATGATTTTCACTGTGGCATAAATAGAGTCGTTTGACATGGTTTTGTGTGTTAAATATAAATCTAAAATCATAAATATGATGCAAGTAAAACCGTTTGCTGCGGATCTTTGTGGAATAGAAATGTACGTTGAGGAGTTGTCTATGAAAGTTAAGTTGTATTTTATAGTGTTGCAAGTTTTAATTTGTTCGCCGAATTGATAAACCAGTCCCAACATATCTTTAAAAAGCTTTTGGATTCGTTTTGACAACTATCATACGTAGAATAAAACATTTATAAATCAACAATGTTAGAAATATAATAAATCAGTTCAGAAGTAGAGATGTTTATTATTTTATATAGATTTTAAGTGTATACTAGTTAAGCGAATTTAGAAAATGAAATACATTGTTTACAAACTTTCTAAACTAAATTATTTGAATAAATATTTTTGACCAGAAATTTAACTTCTTGCTTGTTTTATTTTGGAAAAATTCAACGACTGCTATTGTTCTTTCACAGATAAGTTTTTGGCAACACATGCTAACTGCTAAGTAATATATTTTGTAACGCTCTTCGTAACGGACTCTGGGACTCTGTAACATATCTCGTAACGCACAAAGGTAAATTTTATTAGTCAAAACTCTTATAGAATCTATATTATTTCCATTTAGAGTTAAACTTTTTTTTATATATAAATACATATTGAGATTTCCACAAAATCTTCATCCTTTTCAGGAAAAATTTCTGTTAAAAAAAACTCAAAAAATTTACAGTGTGCCTGTTGGAAGAGAAGAAAATAACAAAAGAAGTAAGTCATTACTATTATTTTAGTGAGTGTTGTATGAGCCAAATCTAAGCCGAAAATTTTGGAACCGAACTTCAATAAATTTTTTTATCCTCTACTATTTTTGCATTTGTTTATCTAGTGTTCTTTTTGTTTGATTATAAAAATATTTGTTTTTAAATCATATTGGTTTTCAACATATCAATAATTTCATTGTTTAGAACTAAAACTTGAGATCTTCCTACTTTTTTACGGAGCAGACTTCAAATCTTACATTTTTTTTCTGTCCACTTTGAATAAACACATGAGTTTAAAAAATACACAATTTGGTTTTTCTTGTTTGGTCAGAAGAAAAAGATATACACAATTTTTTGTGTATATTTAGTAGATAATGGGACTAAAAGTGGTGATAAGAAAATGTTATTATTTTCAGTCCAACAACTGATTTTTGTTTTCTAACTGTTTCATCTAAACCCATTGACATAATTACATAATTAGGTATAAACATGATTACACCTTAAATTATAAAACGCTTATACAATAATGTCAGAGGCAGTCATAGCCAAAGGTTTTCGTGTCGGGTTTAAATCAAACCCTGATGGTGTATGTATACACCTTTACATACATACATCCTTATGTCTACAAATTCTACTCTCTTCTGTGTGACTCTGTTTTGGTGTTGGGATTTTTTAGTATCACCAAATTTTTAGTTTCTCTCCATCTTCTCTAGATTTTCACTTGTTCTTTGGTTTTCTTATGGAACCCTATCTCCTTTCGATTCCTTGGCTCATGGGTGAAGTAAAAGGTTTGATTTTGATTTCTGAGTTTTTGTTTCTCTGTGGTGTTTGCTTTGTAATTGCTAGATAATGAAGAGACTCTCTGTTTTTGTATTCTATACTTGTTGGGTTTTGTGGATAATCTTAGATTACGAATTGTCACTTTGTTAGAGATTCAAAATTCAACTCTTTTTTTACTTTCCTTTTAGGAATTTCCAAATGGCGTTGGCAACTAATGTTCAATCAACTGGTGAGGCTATGGCGTTGGAAACTAATGTTCAATCAAGTGGTGAGGCTATGAGTAAGGCTTTGGCTTTGTATACAAAGCTATGGAATGCTTGTGCTGGACCTCTTGTAACTCTACCTCGCATAGGGGACCGAGTTTATTACTTCCCAGAAGGTCACATGGAGCAGGTAGGTTGATTGTTCAATCTCATGATGTATAGTGTCTTGCTTGTTGTGATTTTCATGATCAATTTGTTAGACTCCTTTTCATTACATGTCCTTATCAATTTCTTCTTATTATGGATTTGACAATGTAGCTCGAGAAATCATTGAATCAGACCTTGAAGCAGCAACTGCCTTCTTTCGACCTTCCATCTAAGATTCTCTGTGAAGTGGTTAACGTCGAGCGCAAGGTAGGTTAATTTCCATAATATATTTGTATGATTTCTTTTTACCATATGGAATTTTCTGTGTGACACATTTGTTGTGCTTCCCCTTTCCATCTTCAGGTAGAACTTGGAACTGATGAAGTGTATGCGCACATTTCCTTGTTGCCGCGGGAGAATGTAAGTTACTTTTTTTTTTTTTCCATTGCTAAGTTCATCATGAATGTGTGTACATATGACAATTATTTGACTAACTCTTGTGATTTTTGGTCATTAGCAATTTGAATCCATCTTCCCAGATGTCCCTGTCCCTGAGGCAGAAAATTTTAACATACAGTCATTCTGCAAGACCCTAAGTGCTTCTGACACCGGCATTCATGGAGGTTTCTCTGTGCTAAAGAGGCATGCAGACGATTGTTTCCCACCTTTGGTCTGAAATGATTCTGCCTTTGAATCTATTTAGAAAACCATTTCAATGTTGTGTTTTTATAATACTTTGACTTCTCTTTTCTAGAAAATTTCCAAGGAAATGGAAATGGAAAAGGAAGAAGCACCATCCCAGGACCTGTTTGTAACTGATTTGCAACAAAAGCAGTGGCGTTTTAAGCACATTTACAGAGGTTACAACAAATGCTTTTTTATCAGACTTGCTTCTGGTACTGTCCTAAAAGTATTCTGCATTAGTGTTATTATTATTTCATGTTGATGCTCATGTGTAGGCTCACCAAAGCGTCACTTGCTGACTAGTGGCTGGAGTAAATTTGTGAACTCGAAAAAGCTGGTGGCTGGTGATGTTCTAATATTCCAAAGGCAAGTTCTTTAACATTTTGTGGATTTGTTTTCTTTATCGTAAATGCCTGAGCAACTAATATAATTTCATCCTCAGGGCTGCGAATGGAGACCTCGGAATCGGCGTCAGGAAGGTCATGGGACAACATGCCAATATGCCAACCTCTGTGATCTCGGCTGAAAGCATGCATTTTGGGATCCTTTCTAATACTGCTCACTCAGTTAGGACAATATCAATATTCGATGTCTTTGTGAAACCAAGGTTGATCTTGCACTTGATGAGCCATACTTTCCAAATCCTTGTCCAGTGTCTTTAATATACATTGTTGAATGCATATATATATATATATGCTTTGGTCCATAACCGTTTGGTTGCCTTTTCTATGAATCAGGACAAGTAGGTCAGAGTTTGTCGTGAGCGCCAATAGGTATATTGATTCTAAGAACCAGCAGCACTGTGTAGGGATGCGTTTCAAGATGAGATTCGAGGAGGATACTCATGAGAATATGTATCATCCTTTCCTTAACCAAAATTTTGTTTTGTTTCCTTAAGCTAGGCTTCAGCTTTAAATTCTTGAATTGTATGCTCTAACATTACAGGTCTATTGGTACAATAGTTGGTGTCCAGGAAAATCCATCTCAGGTTTGGCCTGATTCTGAATGGAGAGCACTAAAGGTAAGTGTATATCTTACTTTAAGACTTTGTGTTTGGACCAAGACTGATAATCATAAATATGCTTCAGGTTCAATGGGATGAGCCTTGTGTCCTGAAGCCTGAAAGAGTCTCCCATTGGGAGATTGAGATCCTAGATGGAAATAACAATGCCCTTTCCCCACAATCTCAGCCTCTACAGAGGAACAAAAGATCAAGAACTCTTGGTGTGCCTTCCCCAACCGCTGGTCCATCTGCTTCCGGTACTTTCAAATTATTTCTTGTTTTGAGCTATTCGGTCTTGCGTGGTCGTCTTTATTTGATGTTCTCTTCATTGACCTCAGGCCCTGCAGGAACCTTGTTCCGTCCTTCTGCTCAGACTGCGACGTTTGGTCAAGGTGGGAGCAGCTCGAGTCTTTTGCCAAACCGTGTGAATTATTCAGCTGTAAAGAAGCAGGCTCATGGAAATAGCTGCAGGCTTTTTGGGATTGAGCTCGTTGAAAAGAACCCTGAGTGTTTCCCTCCTCCTGTCACTGTGTCTGTAGCTGCTGGAGTTGATCAACTTGCTGTTTCCAACGAGATTGAACCTATGATCAACCAATCTGATATTCCTTTGGGGATTATTGTTCCAGAGAAGGCCTCTCCGAAGATTCCTCGGAGCTGCATAAAGGTTACTGATATCTCTTAATTTTTTCAGTTGTGCTTGTTAGCCATTTGGACCGTCAGGGATTCATGTATCTCAAAATGTGAGTCTTGTTGGTTAGGTACACATGCAAGGCACTATCGGCAGAGCCATTAATCTGTCGAAATTCACTTGCTACGAAACCCTCTTCGAGACGCTTGAAGAGATGTTTGGGATAAAGGGAGAACTCTTGGAAATTGGCAACAAATGGAAGCTTGTTTACAC